CAGTGGAAGTTGTAGGAACAGTCACAGTCGTACTATTAGTAGTTTCAGAGGGCGCTGGCTGCGTCTCAGTGGTTGTTGCCACAGTAGAAGTTGTAGGAACTGTCACGGTAGTACTCTTAGTATTTTCGATAGGTATAGGCTGCGTCTCAGTAGTTGTTGCCACAGTAGACGTTGTAGGAACAGTCACGGTCGTACTCTCACTAGTTCTCTCAGTAGTTTCAGAAGTCGATTGCTGTCTCTCAGTAGTTGTTGCCACAGTAGAAGTTGCAGGAACAGTCACATAAGTACTCTTAGTAGTTTCGATAGGCACAGGCTGTGTCTCAGTAGTTGTTACCACAAGTGAGGTTGTAGGAACAATCACAGTAGTTCTGTCAGTTGTTTCGGCAGGCACTGCTTGTGTCTCAGTAGTCGTTGCCACAGTAGAAGTTGTAGGAACAGTTAGAGTAGTACTCTCAGTAGTTTCAGTAGACGCTGCCTGTGTTTCAGTAGTGGCTACGACAGTAGAAGTTGCAGGAACAGTCACGGTCGTACTCTCAGTAGTTCTCTCAGTAGTTTCAGAAGTCGATGGCTGTGTCTCAGTAGTGGTCACCATAGTCGAAGTTGTAGGAACAGTCACGGTTGTACTCTCAGTAGTTCTCTCAGTAGTTTCGGCAGGCACAGACTGTGTCTCAGTTATCGTTAGCACAGTAAAAGTTGTAGGAACAGTCAGAGTAGTACTCTCAGCAGTTTCGGTAGGCGCTGCTTGTGTTTCAGTAGTGGTTACGATAGTAGAAGTTGCAGTAACAGTCGGAGTAGTACTCTCAGCAGTTACGGTAGGTGCTGCCTGCGTCTTAGTAGTCGTCACCGCAGTGGAAGTTGTAGGAACAGTCACAGTGATACTCTCAGTAGTTTCAGTAGATGTTGCTTGTGATTCAGTCGTCGTTACCTCAGTGGAAGTTGTAGGAACAGTCACAGTCGTACTATTAGTAGTTTCAGAAGTCGATGGCTGTGTCTCAGTGGTTGTTGCCACAGTAGAAGTTGCAGGAACAGTGAGAGTAGTACTCTCAGCAGTTACGGTAGGTGCTGCCTGCGTCTTAGTAGT